TCTATCATCTATCTATCTATCTATCTATCTATCTATCTATCTATCTCAGTATGTTCACTATCTATGTATCTCTCATCATCCTGATCGTATCTATCTATTTCATTCTGATCGTATCTATCTATCTATCTATCTATCTATCTATCTATCTATCTATCTATCTATCTATTTCATTCTGATCGTATCTATCTATCTATCTATCTATCTATCTATCTATCTATCTATCTATCTATCTATTTCATTCTGATCGTATCTATCTATCTATCTATCTATCTATTTCATTCTGATCGTATCTATCTATCTATCTATCTATCTATCTATCTATCTATTTCATTCTGATCAAATCTATCTATCTATCTATCTATCTATCTATCTATCTATCTATCTATCTATCTATTTCAAATCTATCGTATCTATCTATCTATCTATCTATCTATTTCATTCTGATCGTATCTATCTATCTATCTATCTATCTATCTATCTATCTATCTATCTATCTATTTCATTCTGATCGTATCTATCTATCTATCTAGCTAGCTAGCTATCTCACTTGCTTCCACCTGTGATTTTGTTGGATTATTTTTTTTTGTTTTGTTTTTTTTGGGGGAAACAATCAATTTTTAATGAAGCTGGCACTAATCAATTTAAGTGAAAGACGTAAATAACTTTTTAGACAATACAACGGACTAAAATAAAATAAAAATGGAGTCGATATAAAATTTGACACAACCCTAGCAGACTTTATTCGCCTCTCGTATTAAAAAGTTCACCTTAAAGAGACCTTCCTTCTTTTAGGCTAAGTGTTGATATAGTTTAGTCATTACACTTTATTTGACTTTTTTCGACAGTAAAGTTTAACCAATATCATACCTGAGAGCCACTCTTGGCAGAGAGATACGATTAAAATTGTAATGGTGAATGTGATTAGTTATATGAATGAAAGGGAAGGCAGAAAATATTACGAGGGAATATTTTATTATCTGTGTTGTTTCGGTTGATATGTTGTTCGCTCCCGTTAGAGGCTACACGTTAATGAGAATAAGGTATTGGAAATACGATTTAAAAGTTAATGATAGTGATAATCCTTCTCTCGGTAACGGCTCTCCACATCTTCTGGTCGTATGCTGTTCTGAGTAACTCTTGGCCGTTTTACAACCTTTCTTTGTCCTAGTTTTTGTTTCATAATTCTTTCATTCAATCAAATCAAACTAGTTTTTTTTTTTTTTTGCTGTTTTTCGCTTCTTCTCTTATGTTCCATAGGCAATATGTGTGCTCGGGGATGTCTATAAGAATGTTATTTTCTCCACAACAAAATTTCAACTCGGGTTTATATAGTATAGTTGGTCAATACTCAGTTGTCTAATTATTTTCTTGATGATAAGATAAAATACATCAAGGAAGACGACGTACTTTTTTCTAACCCAAGTACTTTCGATCGTATCCAAGATTATCTTCAGGGGTAAATTACAAAGACAAACCTATTGCAACTTAGATAAAATTTGTATTCCGTTGTGATGGTGATTTCTAAAACCACGCGTGATCGCGGTCTGTAATTATGTCAAAAATCTAAATTTATCCGTTGTAGCTATGGGACGTTTTGCAAAAAAATCGTTTCACTATAAGGGGACTGACCGGAAATTAGTAGAAATGCAAAATGGCATTAATTTTATCTTAGTTACAATAAGTTGTTCTGAAGATGGTCGTGGATAAGATGGCAAGTACTTGGGATATAAAAAAAAACTACAGCGTCTTCCTTGATGAATTTCATCTTAACATCAAGAAACTGATTAGACAACTAGAAACACTCAGCATAAAATAAACAGACACAATACATCTATGTTTGAATATATATATATATATATATATATATATATATATATATATATATATATATATATATAATTTAAAGAAACAGACCACTTTAAGATTCCATTGTTATAATTTAATAATAATTGAAACTTAAAATAGTCTGTTTTTCTTTAAATTAAATTATTCACTCTAACTTAACATTGAGCTCTCCGCATTTCATCCTCCTTGGGATTATTCATACGGATTACCATGATTTTCGTTACTTAAAAATATATATATATATATATATATATATATGTGTGTGTGTGTGTGTGTGTGTGTGTGTGTGTGTGTGTGTGTGTGTGTGTGTGTGTTGCGTATATTATTGTTTTTTCATAGTATGTTTTCCTTAAGACATGTCTCATTAAGTAGTTTAGAAAAGTTTTGTCTACTTATTTTCAATGGGATCCTCTCATATTCACGGACAGTATGGAAGAGAGAAAATTAGCATGTTGATACAAATTCATTTAATCCGAGTACTTTCAACATGGACACAATGTCACCATCATGGTGTTGTCTTTTTGAAGACAAAATTGTTGTGTTCATCTGAAAGTTAAATTTTTAACTCTAAGGTTATGCACTGTACGATAAAAATTTCCCGATGTGAGGTAACTAAGTTTTGAAATGTTCACGGTGATCAACTTTGATCTCCATAAGTATAAATGCAATGTCAATCGTCATCTACTGAATTCTTGATTACTCTTCTGTTGTTAGCGATCCTTAGTAATGATCTTGTTTTCTAATTTTTTCACACCCAGTAACCACTTGTGTCTTAGTGGCTTTATTGCCTTGCTTGGGATAAATACGATTAAAAAATCGTAATCTTACTCGACATTTTGGTGAGGGGCCAATCTGTAAAAGATTTATTTACTTACCTTAAAAGAGAGGACAAGCGGTAGAGAGAGAGAGAGGGGGGGGAGAGAGTTTGAAAAGATGCCTCGATTTGGGCTGCAAACGTTTCTTGAAAAGAATCTAGTTCATTATCTAACTGACTTCCCGAGGCATGAATGAGGACGTTTATTCTAATCATAAAAATCAAAGACAGCACCCCCCCCTCTTTAAGCTTAATATCTACTTCAGTGAGATATAGAACGTTGTGAATATTTCAATCTTTTCACCAGCACCCTCTTATTTCTGTAAATAATGACCTGCATTCATATTTATGATTGTTAAAGTGGCTCGGATTCAGGGATCGGAGAGCCGAGTTCGAATTCCACTCGAATCCATTATATTCACTAACGTGCTAATATCGTCGGAAAGGTATGAATCCTCTTCTTCTTCCCTAGCTATGGGTAAATAGCAGAACAGGCCGGGTTCTATAGTCTTGGCTGGCAACTGGTCTACCGCAGAAAGAAATGGCAACCTATTGCGAGAAAAAAAAATCTGCTTCGTCAGCCATGTATCGAAAGATACATGATCGCCTAAGCGTGTATCACGCATGGCACGTAATTGACTGACTGTTTAGCTCAAATATTTAACGACGCGATGATTTTATATTCCTGGAACTCGAAAGGTGCTTATTCAATCATTAATTTCATATTACTCAGAAAATTAAAAAATAGGAAAACAAGGAAATTTTCATGTGTATTTCTAGTTTTTATGTCTTCATTCCACTGAATGAAGATGACATAATCATGAAATATAATGTCGCTTTGAGTCAACGTAGCCTTAACGAATCCTGTAGTAAGGATATAAGGCTCGTTCACAGCTCTCCGTGCTGACGATTCTCAGCGTCGGTACATATGCTATTTGGACGAATCCAAGCCAGGTGTGTTCTTCTCCACAAAATTAGTCATTATTAGTTAAAATTAATATTAGAAAAGGAGTCACTTGTTTTATGAATAATTGTATACCAATGATATCTTTCCAACGAAAAGATGGCTGTTTCTTTCCAGAGCAACTATGTAGCTATCTACTTTAAAACGATCGCCATTCGAACCTGCCTAGTCTTTGTCGGTGGAAGGTGGGTGTTGTTCATGCCGCGGAATGAAGCTCGAATCAACGAGGAAACGGGATAGAAGATTTGCAGTCATTGAGGCAGAATAAGCTTCGAAGTCGACGAAATCGAGAGTAGTGGGCCAAAGTGTTGCCGGTAAGCGGAACCCTGGCCTGGCCTTACCACTCCCCGAATCTGACGCTCTTTACGGATCGATAATGAAAAGGAAACGGCCGGCCGAGATCAATATCCTGTCAATTGGTACCAGTCTGCTTAGCATCAGTGCTGCTATGGAGTCGGATGAGAGGGACAGGAAGGCGTGAGGGGCCTGGCAAGATACACGGCTCGACGGTAGTGAAAGGAGCGCTATATTGCCATTCGGTTATTCGTGTTCAACGAATCAAGTAGAATGGGATTTATTAGGAAAGGTTGCGTGTGCAACAATTAACAAAGAATAGCGATATTAGGGCTCAAGCTATATAGACAGGCGTGAACGTGGATAGGTAGATAGGTAGGCATGAACAGATAGATAGATAGATAGATAGATAGATATAAAAGCGACTGATACATATATATATATATATATATATATATATATATATAGAGAGAGAGAGAGAGAGAGTTTAGATAGATAGATAGATAGATAGATATAAAAATATACATATATATATATATATATATATATATATATATATATATATATATAGAGAGAGAGAGAGAGAGAGATAGAAACGACCTGACCGAGATAGATAGATAGATAGATAGATATTGACAGACTTATATATATATATATATATATATATATATATATATATATATATATATATATATATATATATATATATATATATATATATATATATAGATAGATAGATAGATAGAAATGAACTGAGATAGATAGATAGATAGATAGATAGAAATGAACTGAGATAGATAGATAGATAGATAGATAGATAGATAGATAGATAGATAGATAGATAGATATTAACAGACTTAGATAGATAGATGGATGGATAGATATATAGAAATGAACTGACCGAGATAGATAGATAGATAGATAGATAGATATATAGATAGATAGATAGATAAAACAGACTTAGATAGATAGATAGATAGATAGATAGATAGATAGATAGATGGATAGATAGATATGAACAGACTGAGATAGATAGATAGATAGATAGATAGATAGATAGATAGATAGATAGATATGAACAGACTTAGATAGATAGATAGATAGATAGATAGATATTGATCGTTCTTGAATGAACTTTGAAGATGGAAGCCATTATTACCATTACTGAAGGTCTGTATGATCTTTTTCCTCTCACCATTGCTCAGTTGGGAAGACAGTGGAGCTGACATAAAACGATTTTAACCTGTTTTCTTTCTAGCTGAATAACTCAAAGGGTTTTTTCAGGGGTTCTTACGACAAATGATATCAAGACGGCTAAACATCTTATCTGAAGACGTGGAGAAAAGAAACTCCATTAGTTTAGTGGTATTTTTAGATATTAAACATTTTGTGAGATGGACAATTATTACGATTTGGACAATTTTGCTGTTACGCCCGGTATAATAAACCTCCCATCTTTCGTATGTGTTGTGGTAGGATCCACCTAATTTGTATAGTGGAGTACCGACCATATAAATATGGTTGGTACCGGGAAGAGAGGGAGGAATCAAGAGATTCAACCCGAGACTCTGCCCGACTGCGACTAAGTCAACACATTCTCCAGGAACGGTCTTACCAGGATTATACAAAAGACTATATGTAAATATTGTGTACACTTTCTTGTTTCAATACATTTTGTTCTAAGTACCTTTTGTGTTGCATTATTATTCCATGCATTAGTCAAGTTTCAACAGTATGCATGTTTGTCTGTTCCCAAGATACAGCTTAAATCGTACATAATACCCCAAGCAATTTAGGAGCATATAGAACGTTACATTATTATTTTTCAAAAATAAATAAACAGGGTGAAAAAAAAAGAAAAAAAAAAAGAAAAGAAACGGGAATGCAAGTGTATATAACGGGAATGCATATATATATATATATATATTCATTTATTTATTTATTTATTTATATATATACCGGGTCTAACAGTAAAATTGTCCAATTGTTAAATTAAAACTTGAACCGTTGTATCTTAGAAATGATTAAAGATATTTTACTGGAATTCTACGAGGATTTTATAACACTATTGGACTCTACTTTGAGCAATAAGTATGTATTTTGCTCTAAGTTGAAAAGATAATCCATCTTGCTGTTGTGACCTCCTGATCCAGTTTTCCTCTCTAGTGTTCCCGCTTTTTAGAAATTATCCACCGTTCTCTTAGTGGCTCTTGAATGGACTTCGAAGATGGAAGCCCGAGTATGAATGGTGATAGCATTACTGAAAGCTTGAATGATCTTTTTCCTCTCACCATTGCTCAGTTGCGAAGACACAGTGGCTCTGACACAAAATGATTTTAACCTGTTCTCTTTCTAGTTGAATAAGTCAAAGTATTTTTCAGGGATTACTATGACAAATGGTGTGAAGATGGCGAAACATCTTATCTGAAGACCTGGAGAAAAGAAACTCAATTAGTTTAGTGCCTTTTTTTTTTTTTTTTTTTTTAGATATTAAGCATTTTGTGGGATGGACAATTATGCTGTTACACGAGTTGGACAATTTTGCTGTTACGCCCGGTATAATAAACCTCCTATCTTTTGTATGTATCTCTCTCTGTTTTCAAGATACAGCTTAAATTAAACATAATACCCCAAGCAATTTAAGAGACTATTGTACTTTGAAGCCCTACTGAGAGCAGTGCCAAATGTCATTAAAATTAAACAAGGTCTTTTTAAATTATTTTTCTGGTGTTTTTTACGGCATTTTATCATGGAATTCAGATTTTGTAGCGATACGCATTCTTATATCGATCCGCGTATATAAACCAACACTGGCGTATTATATTCCAACTATTATGTATGCGAAAATTAAAACACATTCATAATATATTATAACAATAATATTAAATAAATTTAAATATACATCACGCCACATATATTCATACAATTCTCTACATTACAACTTTTTTTGTAAACGCATATCTCGGATGTTTGGCGACTCCTTGATATATGAAGAGGCTATGTGGAGGTGCCAGACGTAATCTGTATGGTTGAAAAAAATTGAGTCACATGACTTGATGGTAAATCAGTAAATGAACAGATGCATGCAGGTTTGCCGCCGTTAAGTATTTTGAAATATATGTAACTAAGAAGGTATGTATAAAAATATAATTATATAATTTTTGGCTGAACTTACAGGCTCGGGAACCCCACATTAAATTCGGCCTTGTGCCACATCTGACTGCGTCGGGCAGTTGGTAGATACCGTCTGCGGTTTGTAGTTGGAGATTCATTGTGGAATTCTCTTGACTCATTTCTAGCAGTTGACTACTTCTTCTACGCGCCGCTGGCGAATCTTATATGCGTTGTTCTTGTTCTAAGTATTATCGTTCATTACCAACCTTCGTGCGATTATTTTATTCAGTAACCTTCCCTAGGTTACAACCTAAAGAGTTCTCTCAGACGATAAAAAGAGTACAGTTTTTTTTGTTTTTTTTTGAAGCGTTAAAGTTAACAAGACATGTTTTGCCCCAGTTAACAACAGAAAATTTGATTTTTTTTTTTTTTTTAGTTTTTATTGTATTCCTTTCTATCTAGTTACCTTATATTTCATGCCTCTTTATAGAATCAGAAAATTAAAAAAAAAAAAAGCACTCATTTTGTTTGCTGCCTCCACAACGTTTCGACCTTCTTCAGGTGTTTCTTTTCGTACTTAGTAACCTTCGTGGAATTTCGAACCGTATTTTTAATTTCCTTTAATAATCCAATCAGTTACTTCATCTGCTATCGTTTCAAAACGCTTCGGCGCCTCCAGATCTTGCGTCTTTGGTTAATTCTTTTTTTTTTTTTTCTTTTTCTTTCTTTTTTGCTCTTTCTCTTTAAGACTTGCTTCCTAAATAGAAATGTGGGGGGTGATTCAGTTCCTTTGATCACTCTTTCTTGCATATAATTTTCTAGTGTCTTTTTCTTTTCTTTCTCTTTTTCGAAAATCAACGTTCTGAAGTCAAGGAAAGACGACGCGATTTGTCGAAGATCCAAAAAATTAACGGATTTTAAGTTTAACTGAAAAAACGGAAATATTGCTTAAAAAGTAATATAACAATTTAATATAATTTGCAATTATTATTTATTTTATTTCATTTATTATATATTTTATGATTATTATTATTATTATATTTATTTGAATTTATGCATTGTATATTATTACCTCTTTCAACTTTTTTCCGTAATTAACGATGTTTTTCTATATTAGTATTTATTTGTTTTTGTATAACTAACCTGAAAATCGTTTGTCTTATTTTTACTTTCTGTTTTTGCTTAAATAAAGTTATATTTATCAACTTAGCATTTTCTATTCAAATTCATTTTTATCAATTGATAGTTTAGGTTTTAGAACTGTCTAAAAGTCTATATAAATTATTTTATTCTTTGTTAAATAATAAATTCGTAATTTCCGAGTATTTTAGTTTTAAATCTCGATTTATATTTTTGTTTTTCGTTTGTGCTGTTTTTTCTAAAATTAACAAATTTTTGATATTTGTGTTTTTTTATTTATTTACTTTCGTAAACTGTCTTGTTTTCTAGCTTTTTTGTTTTGCCTAATGTTTTATATATATTTTTAAAAAGTTTAACATTTTTTGAGCTTGTAAAACACGTAATTTCGATAAAGTTTATATACGTACATTAAATATTCCAGAAGTTCTCCAGGTAGATTTTAAACCTTGTTCTCATAATCTTCTTCTTTTTTGAACATAAATTATGTAGAAATTGTGCGAATGTTCTGTATGGCTATATTTTAGCCATTATCAAGGATGATTTTATTTTTTACTTCCAACTGAATCTATTTATATTTTTATGTATGTATATATCTAGAGTTATAGAAATGTTTTATTTTCCAAACACGGCCAGCGCATTGTGACTGTGTTCCTATTTGATGCTATTGAGTGTTGGCTTTTTATTTTTTAATTCATTATTTTTTGCCTCTTTTTAGATGTGGATGTAAAATTATCCACATGTAAAAACAATTTCTGCATAATTTATTTCCAAAAAAGAAGAAAATTAAAATGCTTGTATCTAAGTATGCCTATCTGTTAGGGTGGTTAGCCAATCCTTGTTGCAGACGCCTTCTCAGGCACATGTGTGTTTGTTCAACAACCACGGAGCCCACCTTTAGTTTATACTACAGCTCTGCTGAGCGGACCTTGCAGTTTCTGGGAGTGAGCACATTATCTGACGAGAACAAGTTTGAACGAAGCCAGTACGTTCAAACGCTCGGCCACGATGGCTTGTGACTTCTTGCTAGCGTAAGCATCACTCACAAGACTGGTTAGTTTTTCAGGCATTTTCTAATAGTGGTGCACGCTGGAATCGTCTATACAGACCGATAACATCAAGAATTCAAAATCGACCACGGTGAGAATCGACCCCGGTCACACAGCTGGAAATCACTTTCCCATTTATTTTATATATCTATTTTAATCTCTTCTCTTTACATAAAATGTTGAAAGTAAGTGAACAATAAGAAAAACCAAAATCAAATGAAAACCTGACTACTGCATCAGACAACTGCTAATCACCCTATGCTCTTTGCTCGTTCACATTAACACAGATACACAGAAATTGTATATCTCAAAAATAAAAATAAATTCGATTTTCATCGAAGACACAATATCTGTTCAATAATTTTCCGCTGTTTATATTTCTATCGATTTTTACAGCTTCTAACTGTTAATTACTAATTATTAGCTGTAAGAAGACAGAAATCATGCTCGTTAGCAAAAGAGACATTTCAAGGTATGAATTACATTTTGGGGATGTCAAAAGCAAGCAGATACGGAAATTAAACTATCTGGAACACAAAATCATTAGTAGTATACGATTTACGAAAGATGCTTTCAGAAACTAAGCAAAGTATTAACACATAGAAAAATATCGTTAGAAACAAATAACTGCTATGTAATATCTAATTTTCCTATAGCAGTAAATGCTAGACAATCTCTTCACAAATGGAGAAGAGACTTGAAGCATCAGAGGTGTCATTCTACCGACGAATGCTGGGAATACTATGAACTGACGGTGTGAGCAACGAGGGCATTTAGAGGAAA